CAGTGAGATTTAAAAGTCTTGATTTGATGCTGCCAGCTGCAGAAGAAGAGAAATTCCCATCAGATCATCTTCATCACCAACATGTTCTCTGTAGCTCTGCTGGTGCTGCTGGCTGCTGGATCCTGTGAGTCTGACTGAGACACAGACATTTATAGCATGATCATACTGATTTTATTGTTGTTAAAATTCAGTTTTAATTTGCTTCTTTTAGATGTGAGCAGTGAAACACTGACTCAGCCAGCCGCTGTGACTGTAACGCCAGGTCAACGTCTGACCATCAGGTGTCAAGTTACTTATTCTCTGAGCAGCTACTGGACACACTGGATCAGACAGGCTGCTGGGAAAGGACTGGAATGGATTGGAATGAAATATACTGGAGACTCATACTATAAGGATTCATTGAAGAATAAGTTCAGTATTGACTTAGAGACTTCCAGTAGCACAGTGACTCTGAATGGACAGAATATGCAGCCTGAAGACTCTGCTGTGTATTACTGTGCAAGAGAGTCACAGTGACAAAAACAAGCAGCAGAGCTGTACAATAACCCCTCAGAGCCTGAACAGTTATATCAAACCACCAGAGGAGGAGCTCTAAGATAATTTATTAATTAATTATGTATATTTTGAAAAATGAAAATGGAAAAATTGCATTGAAGATATTTGATATTTTAAGATGAAAAAGGAAAAACATTTTTTTTTTTTTTAACATTTGCTATATTCTACATTTTACTCAGAGGTTTGAAATCAATATCTAATTTTCTTCAAGGAAATTGATAAGTGTCAAATTAAGGTTTGCGACTATGATGTTTAAAAATGCTAATTGAACTCAACAAAATATTGCTCATAATAAACTAAAATACTAATTAAGAAAACATTTCCCCTAGAACATCACCTTAAGAATAAAAGGAAGTAAAATACTTTCTTCATCCCAGAAAGTTAATTAAAATCATCTATCAACTTATTTACTGTAGCCTAAAAAAGAAAAAGAAAAAATCTTCATGATGTTACCTTCAGCTAACACCCCATTCTCCACTTAACCATAAATTAGTTTTTAATATACAATTATATTGAAAATATGGTGTCAAAATGTACTTAAAGGTTATGAGAAATTTTAAACGTTGTGTCACATTAAATGATAAAAAAATAATAAATATTTCTAAATTATCTGGTGATAATCACAGTCCTCCAGGTTTTGTTTCAGCTAATTAGCCAGAAATAGAAATAAAGAAAATGCTAGAAAATAATCAATTTAAAAGGTAATTTAAAAGCTGATTGGAGAAGAAGTTCATGAAACACTACAAAAAAATCTAAGAGGAACAAAAACTGAATCCAAAAGTTTTGGGATTTCATGTTATTTAGAGCTTCTGTCACCATCTTTGTTCAGTAGAAAGTTTTTTTGTTCCACTTTTTCACTAATAGCTCTAGAATATATATCTGCAGTATTTTTTCTTTGATAAAATCTTTTTGTAGACATTCTATGGCTGATTAATGCTACAAATTGATATGTATTTATGGCCTGTNAAAGCCTCCCCTAGAATTCCATGGGGGGGAGGCATGGGGGGAACACTGCCTAAGAAAGTCCACGTCAATTTCTGACAATTTACGGGAGTTTTCGGCGAAGCCTGCAAATTGCCGTAAACTGCAGCTAACCTGAAGTTCCACGACAATCTACAGTGCCGCATATTGACGAAAATCCCACTTTTCATGCAGTGGCTGGAAAGAAGAGTCCGGCTGATTGTCGAACCTCGGCTGCAGGAGGAGCAGTGTGGTTTTCATCCTGGCCGTGAAACAGTGGACCAGCTTTACACCCTCTGCAGGGTGCTTGAGGGTTCAAGGGAGTTTGCCCAATCAGTCCACATGTCCACAGCCGAGTGTGAAGCGGCCGGGATGAGAATAAGCACCTCCAAGTCCGAGGCCATGGTTCTCGACCGGAGAAAGGTGGCTGGGCTCTCCCTTAGAGATAGGATGAGGAGCTCTGTCATTCGGGAGAGGCTCAGTGTAGAGCCAGTTCTCCTCCACATCGAGAGGAGTCAGTTGAGGTGGCTCGGACATCTTCTTCGGATGCCCCCTGGACGCCTCCATCGGGAGGTGTTCCAGGTACGTCCCACCGGGAGGAGGTCCAGGGGACGACCCAAGACATGCTGGAGAGACTATGTCTCTCGACTGGCCTGGTAGCGCCTAGGGCTTCCCCCAACAGAGCTGGAGGTGTCAGCTCAGAGGGAAGTCTGGGAGTCTCTGCTTAGTCTGCTGCCCCCACGACCCGATTCCGGATAAAGCGGGAGTCAACGAGTATGAGTACGAGTAGGATTTATATGAAATATATAATGAATTAAATGGACTGTTGGTGAATTAAACCCCTCCCATCTTCGCTCATTATCATGATGCAAATTAACAGTCTCCACTGTGTATTTCTAACCTCTGGACTGGTTTGTCGTTAGTGTCTCCAGCTTCAAGATGATGAACACACTCTCTGTTCTCCTTCTTGTCCTCTTTCTGCAACGTAAGTTCAGTCTTTGTGTTTATGTTAAACTGCTGAGTAAATATCAGCAATTTTTTTTAAGTTCCCCTGTCATTTTTTAACTCTTGCTCTTCTCTTTATCCCATCAGGTTGTTCTGGTCAGACTATGGAGTCCATTCAATCAGGTCCACTAATAAAAAGGCCTGGAGAGACTCTCAGTCTGTCCTGCAGAGGATCTGGCTTCACATTTACCTGCTGTGCTATGAACTGGATCAGACAACCCCCTGGAAAAGGACTTGAATGGA